GCGAAGTTGCGCAGTGAAACGCCGATGCAACAAGTCAACATCACCGAAATACTGATCCTTCATAGACGCGGCCATGATCTCCATGTCAATGTCCGCATTGATGCGTGAGAACTCATCTACCATTACAGCATGTTCATGTGCACGGTGTAGGTGGTGATCATCAATGTCCAAACAGCGACACGGAAAAGATGTCTCAGGAGTCCATCTGCGTTGCCATGTGCGGTAGTTGTAGATCCTGTCGCCCAACGTGGCGCTGCGGGTTTCCACCACTCGGATCTTTGGAAGGAATAGGGAGGGAAACAGGTCACGATGAGAAGCAATCCAGCTTTGCAACCATGTGCCAAGTTGAGCTTTCCAATTCCGGACATGTAGAGGCGGTAGAAGTAGTTGTGTCAAAGTGCTGGGTGACCGTAGCTGGCGTTTGCGCAACACCTGGGCGAGGAGTTTCTGTGCCTTGGAGCGAAAGGGCTCGTTGACAAAGACAGAGAGTCGCAGAAAGTAGTAAAGCTGAGTGGGAGGAAAAGCCGCCGACAGTAGGTCACGCATGGCTTGGAACGATGCGCCTGTATTGGATCCCAGCTGATAGAGAATCGAGTAATGTGCTTGAATGTCATCCAACATGTCTGGTCGTAATTGCCGTTGAAGATCCGGATGTAGTCGTCGACGAAAGCGCTTGTGTAGACCGAGGGAGGTGGGAGACGACAACGAATGACGTCGAAAATCAACGAGATGCTCCCGGAAGCCCACCTTTCGTAGAAGTCTATGTACCCAGGGCGCATTCAAATGCGGACGTAGCAGGTATTGCCATTTGCTTTCTTGGACCCAAACCGAGGAAACGGGAAGTTTAATCTCAACCGGAACTGCACAGAAAAGCCAGTAAGTATTGGAGCGCTTCCAGTAGTGAAGCGCGGGTTCGAAGAAGGCATGACGTCCCCGGAGTAGTTGTAGAAATTTGCGACTGCGTGAGTGTTCACGTCGTAGAACGTCCTGATCAGTCGCACCAACGTAGTAGGGCGTGTGCCATGGAGAAAGTCGGATGTAGACGCACGGTTGTTGGTGATGACCTGGATCGTGAATGAAGTCATAGAGGTCCGGAAACCGTGTCCGCAATGGGCGAAGATGTCTCGTGTCTGCGAAAGTGGAGTGCATAATTTCACACAAGAGAGATGTCTTGTAGAAGTGAAGAACTTCAAAGAACGGTGGGAAGTAGCCGTGATCTTGAGAGATGAGACGTTGCAAGAAACTGATCAATAAATAGGCGGTGCACCGACATCTGTGGAGCTCATACCTGTTGGCCACAGTATGTTGAGAATGCGACATAGCGTGATTCGGAATCTGAAGGGCAATCCGGACCACAACTAAGACCTCCAGAATGAGGCCCAACCACGGTAGTTGCGTGATTGATGCATACTCATCGGCTGGTATCGACGGTAGTGGTAGTCCAGAAAAGCAGTATTGCCAGCACGTAGAGAACATGGTCAACGAGTGTAGAAAGTTGTCCAGAGACTGCCATTGTGCAACGTCATCATAGATTCCACAGCGGCGAAGCTCAGCCAACATGGTGAACATGCAACCAATGAAATCTACCGTGAGGCGGCGACATGAATACAAGCTGCACAGAACATCACGCACAAGACAATGCAAGCACAGTCAAGCACAAGATCAAACTAATGCAAAGCAAGAAGATGCCGGACGAGTTTTAGACCTCGACTCCTTCGTGACACGGCTGCCGCTCCGGGCTCATAAGTGAACGAAGTTCGTCAAGGTGCCTGCTCATCCGCTGAGTAGGCGAGCGGTCACGATGAGGTGACTCAGTGACTTCTCAGTGAGCTTGGTGAGATAGCCGGGCTCCAGTCCCCACGAAGCCGCCATCGCCCCGAGAGTGGGTGCGTCGCCTTTTGGCATGTGTTGACGCGCCTGGAGGAGTTGCGTCGCCATGGAATCCAATGTCTTGTTGCCGTTGAGCCGGGACGGGTGATTGGCCCACTTGACCAGTGACGTCAAAGTTGCGGTTGTGGGCGATGGCTTGAGAAACAAGCGTGGCTGGTCACTGGTCCATGTGTAGTACTTGACAACTTCTTCCGGCGTGCTGTGCATGGTGAGCAATTGAGAGGCCGCCGGCTTGGACGGTGGCGAAGAAACTCCGTGAAGAGACTGAATGATCCGGGGCTGCACCGCGCTATCAAACGACTTGCCATCAAGGGCCGCTGCGCTGGCCGTAGGGAGGGAGCTGGCAGGCGACGAGGATTGTGTGTGGTTGACCAATGGCGGTGTGACCAATTCTGCATCATCTTTCTGGCTTGCCACCGTGGGGGAGGTCGAAGCGCGAAGCGATGCTGAATACTGAGCCTGGAGCAGTTCATGAGCACGATTTAGATCATTGTACTTCTTGACCATGTCATCTGTCTGGGTGGGAGGCGTGAGAGAGGCGTGGTGTTGTTGAAGAAATTGGAGTACCAAGTTGGCCAAATGGTCATGAACCTTGATCTGCTGATTGAAGTCATCGAGGTTGAGTCCCAGCGAATTGGCAAGGTCCTTTTCCAGGGTGAGCAGGTTGATCGACTGCGATCGCCGTAATAGTTTGGAACAGGCACTCCAAAGCAAGGCCTCAGTGCGAGTGCGAAAGCCTTCCCACGTCACGAATCTGCCGTGAGCAAACGGTCGGAGTAGCCAGTTGGTGAGGCCCCCATGAATAACCTGAATCAGGCGAACGTCACGAATGTCCATGCCTGACATGTCGCGTTGGTTGCTATGAGGAGTGTTGGCAACCGTCATGGGCAGGCTGAAGTTGTAGAGCTGATTGACATCTAACATGCCATCTCCAGGTGTCCAGTCAGGTGATGGTGCAAGCCAGGCTTTCTGAGGACGAACCGGTAGAGCAGCAGGAGGTCCAGGTGGCGGTAAAGGTTGAGAGGTAGTGACCGGTGGTGATATCACGGACGGCATGAACTTCGTTGGCGTGGGCTCTGGAGGAATCGGCATCATGTAGTTGATCGATGGATGTTGGAACTGCTGCGTGGACTAGGGATCGATTGAAAATTGGTGGACATCATCGGGAAATTGTTGGCGGAGTTGTAGCCAGAATTGTGTTGCCAAGATACCAGGTTGTTCCAATCCATGCCCTCCGAGACGTGGTGGTCATTGTGTTCAGCGAGCTTGGGGAGAAGTACTCCGGTCGCGTCTGCGCCGAGTCCTGGATCTATCACGATCATCACGTCGAGACATGGTGACGCGACCGACTCTGAATCTTCACACTTCCACCTTGAGAGAAACGGATCCGACAACATGCAAATCAATGCAAATGCAAGTCAACGGCCCCCAGCTGCGATGGTCGATGAAATGGATCCGACAAAAGGTAAGCCGACATTTACAAGGCAAAGCAAATACAAGTCAGCAATCTTCAACCGCTATGATACGAGCAACAAGTTCAACCAATGGTAAGCCAATGCAATGAAAGTCGGCAGCCAGCAGCTGAGGTGAGACGTCACTATGGTCTGATCGCTGTCTTCCCTTTAGTGAAACCTCGTTCCTGGTTAAATGTGAAATTCCGCTGTTCTATGATAAGCACGTTGAGGTCAAATTTTCCGACAGAGCCGGCCCGGGGTCACACAATGGGTACACCCGAGGATTCCCCACGAATGGGGTGTACACACTTGAACTCCAAATGGAGAGTGCTAATCTTTCGAGTACAACTGATGAGTCTCGAGTACAACTGATGAGTCTCGAGTACAACTGATGAGTTTCGAGTAGGATCGACTTGCAGTCACTTGGCTTCCGTCTAGCAGCGAACACGTTACCCGAAAGAACAAGAAGCACAAACAGCGCCGCAACCAAGGGGCCAAAAGGACATTCAGAATCACTTGCAGGTACAGGAGTTTGCGTCCAAACTCCCTTCCGGCTCATTCTCACAGCTTCGTTGGCACGGCTAGAGAATGAGCTGCCGTGCCCCCTGCCTCCGAAAACGACCCAAGGTGGTGACAGGGTATTCTGTCACTCCGCACACACACACACAACTGCGGCATCTGTTTTATGTGCCCACCTTTTACCCCGCCGCAGGGAAGCTTAATCAACATTGGACGCTTAACACGTGAGTTTTGAAGTTTACCAAGGCTAAATCAAAGCAAGTCGTGCTACGCATCAGATGTTGCCCGCAAAAGAGCAGGTGTGGTTAGGAGAAAGGAGTAACGGGTTGCATGCACTTTGCCCTGTCAGAGCGGGAGCAAGTTACTATTTCCCCCGGAAGCTTCATGGGAGTTTGTTTTAGCCCCGCCCCCCCCCGTGAGCTCGTTACAATTTACCCAGGTTCATGGGTTTTGGGCTCAAGAGATTTCTTCTGCAATCGGATGCAGAAAATACTGTTGATGGAAGAAATCTTGCATGAGTGTAGAAGACTACATATTTGCCACCCCGCGCCCCCTACTTAACATTGAGCGGTGACGGGCAAAACCGCTCACAGGTTGTCAATGACCTAAATCTTGCATGACCCAACCCAACTTGGCCAAAAAGAGAACCAATGTTGAGTAGGGGGCGCGGGGCGAGTCGTAACAAAATATCATGGATCTATTTCTTTCACCACCGTATGGTGCATGGCGCCTTCTTATTCTAAGTGGAACCAACGCGGAAGCACCCGTTCGAAGGCAAAACCTAGCTTTGACAAAATTAAGATACATGGCTGCGTCAATTGTAGTATGAGTTCTGATTCAATCTCACTTTTTGGGATGGTTGAAAGCAGAACCAAAGGAAGATCAACCACCCAGAGGGGCAATTTGGACAAGTGATCGAGCTCCAGTTTCCGGACTCTCTCCAGAGTGAGACTTGGTACTCGTATCCTGCCCTGATCAGTGCCCCACCCTTGGAGACAAACTGGAACAATTGAAGCGATACCCGCAAAATTGCCTCCAGAAAGAAGGTGGTTTGCAGGGAAACCGCCCCACACAGTAAGACTTTGTTCACTTTTATAAGAGACCCAAACAAACCCACCTCCGACTTCGCCCCGCGGCCTGCCGACAGCCGACTTCTGCGGGGCTGCCTCTCCTGGCAGCTCAGAGGGACTTGCACCGTCACCTTTGACTCACATGGTCGTCCCAGGTATCAGTCCCAGGTGAGTTCCGATGTTGGGACTTCACAGCCAATGATGCCGAGGACTTTACAGTCACAATGTCAACGTGCTCCAAACCGACCTGGGACCCTTCCGAGAAAGCCCCTCATTTCAGAAACCAAAATGTAACGAGTTCGGGGAGGGGGGGGCTGGAGTTCGAGTTAGAGCCCCTTCGGGATTCATGAGCTCAAACGCGCACACACGCACACAAACAAGCAAGCAAACAAACAAAAAAACAAACAAACAAAAACAACACACACACACACACACACACTACTGGGAGTAACATCTCAGCCCACACCCCCTTCCCGCCCCGTAACCCGCGATCGTTCCCACGGGCCTTTGGCTCCTCCTCGAAGGCGATCGATCGGTGCCTCAGCAAGCATGCACCGGAGCCCTGGTTTGGAAGATTGCACCAAATGTGACCCGCGCACAAGCGTGGCGTATAAACAAGGAAATGAAAGAGATCAACTTAGCAAATAAAGGTCTTTCCGATTCTCCTCGACTAAACTTCCTTTATGGAGAAGGTTCAGTGTTCCTTACCCGAGTCCCTTTCTGACTTTCATTTCCTGCCTTGCTTCTTTGCATGAAGTGTACATCTCTATGTTCAAAGCATGTTCCCTTTACTTGGTTCTTTCAGTTGCTTATGGTATTTTACGTTTCCGAACTTACGAAATCAGTGCCGAAGATCTGGAACGAAATCAAACCGAAATGGAAACGAAATAGAAACATCATGGAAAGACACAAGACATGGAACACATCAAAAATAATGGCTACAAATTGCAATGGAAAAGAACAGACAAGGAATTGGAACGAAACGGGAAGGACATGAAAAAAAGGAAAGGAGTGAACCTGGACACGAACGAAAGGGAGATGGAAAGGAATGGAAAGGACATGGAAGAAAAAGTCAAGGGAATTGAAAGGAAACTCGACCCTTCGAAAATTAATTGACACGCAAATTTGCCAAACTAGTACTTGTTCGACCCCGGCTGGCCTTGGGCACTTCTAGCTGGGAGTCACAAGGAATGGAAAGGAACGGAACCGCACTGAAAGAAAGGGAGATAAAATCAAAAGAAATGGCATGGAAAGGAAATGAAAGGCAATGAAAATGGAAGTGCAAAGGAATCGACAGGAAATATAAGCAAAGGAATAGAAATAGAATTGACATGGAAATGGAAAGAACATGGAAAGGAATAAAACGGACATGGAAAGGAACGGAAAAAACATGAAAGAAACTCCAAGAAAATGGAAACGAAACTCGCGGCTTCAAACTTATTGACATGCAATTCCGAAACGAGCACATGTTCGGCCCGGGCTGGCCTTGCGCACTTCTAGCTAAGAATGAAGGGGAATGGAAAGCAGTGTCAAGAAATCGAAAGGAAACGGCAAGAAATGGAAAGGAATAGCAAGAAACTGCAAAGGAAATGGAAACACAAAGGAATGGAAAAGGAGATGAAAAGGAAATGGAAACGAAACTCAAAGGAAATAGAAAGAAAAAGGAATGGAAAGGAAAGGAAAGGAAAGGAAAGGAAAGGAATGGAAAGAGAACGGAAATGAAAGGTCATTGAAAAGGAAATGGAAGTAAATGGAAAGAAAAAGGAAAGGAAATAGACAAGAAACGGAGATGGAACACAAAGGAAATGTATATGAAACGGAAAGGACAAATGTGAAGAAACGTGGAAGGAATGAAAAGGACTTGAAAGGACATGGAAAGGAATGAATATAAGTTTTGTCCAGTCCTTGCCATAGTTCAAGGCTTCTCTACCTAGACGTGCCCAAGGCCAGCCGGGGCCAAAAACGTACTTATTTCGCGATTTTTTGTTTAACCAAGTTAGTAGCGCCGGATGTCCTTTCCATGTCATCTCCAATTCCAATTCCCTTTCCATGTCCATTCCATTCCTTTCCATTCAAGGCCAGCCGGGGCCGAGAAAAGTGCTTGTTTCGCAATTCCCCGCGCAAAGCATGCTGACATGTTCCAGCTACTTCTTATAACTAATTCGAAATAGTCGGAAAATCGCAAAAAAGGAAGGATTCTCCGGCCCTTTGTTCAAACTAATTAGTAAAAAATGTGAAAACATGACTGATTTTCCAGCTGATGTGTCTAATAAAATAGAAAAGTCTGAACATAAAGTTTTAATAGAAAACAAAATAGGTCTCAATATTCCGAAAGAAAAATGGACTGATTATCCAGCTTGTTGTTACAACTTACGGGAGAAATGTTGAGGGAGAAAAAAAAGGTCCCCCTAGATCAAAACAAAGCACAGTCTCTCAAAGGGAGTGGGCAGGGCATTGTTGCGATACATTGTCTGTACGCAACACGTTGTGACACAGTTATTATAGTCTTCCCTCATACCCCCCGCCCCCCCCCCCCGCAACAAAAAAGACACTTGATGGAAAGCTGCTCAAAGAGCAAAATTTGCCCAACGCGTCTATTCTTGGTTTCGGGGGGGGCGTGGTGTGCCAGAGCTTCAGCATGAAAACCGTGCAGGCAGTTGAGGAAGCTGTCAAATCAACAGGCGACTTGTGCTCATCCAATGCAACCAACGATCTTGAGAGCCAGTGTCCTACTAATGCTTGGTTTTCTGCTGAAACAAACCCACCAAAAAGGATTTTGGCTGGTATGGGTGCTTCCTGAATAGGAGAAACCTCAAATCTGGTTAATGTTCTTTTTGGTTTCCTTTCAACAAACCGCACCCTCCAATGTCGGACCCCCCCACTTCGGCTGGAACCTTCCTCGTTGGTGAACACCCTTAGTTCTCGGGTGAAGGATTTCGTGACCGAGGAGCCAGAGCATCACCGCCAGCAGCACCAGCACCGCAACCGGCAGCATGTACTCGTGGAAAAGACCCAAAAGCAACGTCAATCCCACCAGGCACAGCACTGTGACCAGGGGCGCGTCCCACTGCACGATGCGCTTGTACTCCAGGGAGAGGCTCCTGCGCAGCCGTGAAATGATTCTCTACGTCTCCATGCACGCAAATACGCATATGTGCATACGTATCTGTATATATATATATACATATATATATATATATATATGTATACATGTATTAATTTATGTATATGTCGGAGTTCTTCGGTAACGTGCATTAATAAGTAGTGGGAAAACACCAGGGACAGCTGTCCAGCAGGCGCCAAGGCGTTCTTTGTCAATCTTCTGCAAGCCTATAAAGAAACTGCCGGAAATGTCTGAACACTAGTCAGGCTTCAGCACTGCCTGCGTTGGCAGACACACGACAGTGGCGATGCTTTAGCCCGTCAAAACTGTGTTAGGGAAGAGGATTTCCGCACCTGCCCCGTAAACGTTCGGTAGGGAAGCGAGGAATTCAGAGCCGTCACCCTGAAAGCCTTCACATGTGTGAGGACCCTTCTACATTGTCTCGCTTGCGGATAGATTTTCTGTGCTCGGGCTCCTTGATGGAAGGACAGGGCTGCTGTGGCAGCCTCACCTACCGCGTTCCACGCTGGCACTTTGAGTCAGTGAACTGGATGGGGACTGTTACTACTTACAGCTAGAGTTGGGAGGGCTACCAACACCAATGACTGTTTAGGTTGGGGGTCGGTTCGGGTCTCAGGCGGGCGCCGCCGCCGCTAACTGTTTCGGTTGGAGCGGGGCTTCGGGTTTCAGAGAGCGACACCGCCACTTACTGAATATGTTGCAGAAGGAGGGTTAGAGTTTCGGGCGGACACACCACGACTTGCTGTTTGGGTTGGGAGTTTCGGGTTTTGGGGGCGACGCCACGGTCAAGGTTCGGAGTTTTCCTGCAAGGCCTGGGGCGCGGGCAAACGTAGGGCATTGAGCGTCCATCTTCATGACATACATTACATACATTGCATTACATTACATTATAATACAATACAATACAATGCATTACATTACATTACATTACATTACATTACTTACATTACATACATTACATACATTACATACACTACATACATTACATACATTACATACATGTACATACATGTACATACATGTACATACATACATACATACATACATACATACATACATACATACATACATGCATGCTTACATTACATTACATTACATGACATGACATGACATTACAGTACAGTACAGTACATTACATTACATTACATCACATTACATTGCATTACATTACATCACATTACATTACATACATACATACATGCATGCATGCATGCATACATACATACACACATACATACATACATACATTACCATACATACATACATACATACATACATACATACATACATACATACATACATACATACATACATACATTACCATACATACATACATGCATTACATTACATTACACTACATTACATTACATTACATTACACTACATTACATTACATTACATTACATTCATAAATACATACACACATAAATGCATACATACATGCATACATGACAGTACATTACATTACATTACATTATATTACATTACATTACCTTACATACATACGGACGTACATACATACATACATTACATTCATAGACACAATACATTACGTTACATTACACTACATTGCATTGCAGTACATTACATTGCATTGCATTGCATTGCATTGCATTACATACATACATGCATACATACATACATTACACACATACATACATACATACGTACATACATACATACATACATTACATACATACATACATACATACATACATACATACATACATACATACATACATACATACATACATACATACATACATACATACATACATACATACATACATTACATACATACATACATACATACATACATACATACATACATACATACATACATACATACATACATACATACATACATACATACATACATACATACATACATACATACATACATACATACATACATACATACATACATACATACATACATACATACATACATACATACATACATACATACATACATACATACATACATACATACACATACATACATACATTACATACATACATACATATACATACATACATACATACATACATACATACATACATACATACATACATACATACATACATACATACATACATACATACATACATACATACATACATACATACATACATACATACATACATACATACATACATACATACATACATACATACATACATACATACATACATACATACATACATACATACATACATACATACATACATACATACATACATACATACATACATACATACATACATACATACATACATACATACATACATACATACATACATACATACATACATACATACATACATACATACATACATACATACATACATACATACATACATACATACATACATACATACATACATACATACATACATACATACATACATACATACATACATACATACATACATACATACATACATACATACATACATACATACATACATACATACATACATACATACATACATACATACATACATACATACATACATACATACATACATACATACATACATACATACATACATACATACATACATACATACATACATACATACATACATACATACATACATACATACATACATACATACATACATACATACATACATACATACATACATACATACATACATACATACATACATACATACATACATACATACATACATACATACATACATACATACATACATACATACATACATACATACATACATACATACATACATACATACATACATACATACATACATACATACATACATACATACATACATACATACATACATACATACATACATACATACATACATACATACATACATACATACATACATACATACATACATACATACATACATACATACATACATACATACATACATACATACATACATACATACATACATACATACATACATACATACATACATACATACATACATACATACATACATACATACATACATACATACATACATTACATTACATTACATTACATTACATTACATTACATTACATAACATAACATAACATACATACATACATACATACATACATTACATACACACCTTCATACATATATATGTATATGCATATGTAAATGTTACAGCGTGCGTATGTTTATGTGTTTGTGCATATATATATATATATATATATTTCCAGTTGTCCCATGATTACTCTACCACAGCTCCAAGGCTAAGGGCCAAACCCAAGCATTGGGCAACGAGCTTTCACTCTCACCATCTGGCTCTGCGGGCTTTGCGCTGAAACTTCTCCTGGAGACTTCGCAGTGGTAGATGAAGCGGCTGGAAAACACCTCGAACTCCTGCATGAAAGCTTCCAGCTCCTGGCTACCGATTGAGCTTCTTAGGCGTAAGGGGCCCAATTTACTTGAGAGTTCACTCCGAAAAAGTTGCCGAAATGGAACACAACGGGGTCTCCATCCTCCCACAGATTTCCCAACCCCTAACTACTTCCAACAGGAACCCTGAAGGCGCGCCATGGTCCCCAGAACAAGGTTGTGTCCACCATGTGTTTGAACACGGCATGAACCACGATATTGTACACACTGAGTATTTGTTGTTTTCCTCTCCACCAGCCATTAGGTTCCGAACTCCTCCCAAACCCCTAGGTTTCACTTGATCAAAGGGATTCCCTCTCCCGTGCTAGGACCGATTCGAGACAAATTGGCGGCACCAAAAATCAAAAGCAACAAAACCAAACTCCGCAGCACTCATATGTTTCTCCTCCACCCCTTTTCAACACCTCCGCCCCGTTGTTCAACAACTAAAAGCGGCAAACCCCTCCCTAGGTTCCAAGTCTTTCTTGTGCTGAACATGGCAACGTTCCACGGGTTCCAACTCTTGGTCTGCAACCAAGCCAGTTGGATCATCTACAGTCCAGCGTCACTGAACCCAACAGCTCCTTGAACTGCTCGCGGATGCCCTTCCCCCCCACGTCCAGCACCGGCTTCGCTGGCCGAGGCGGCCGCGGCAGGAGCAGCGCGCCGTAGCTCTGGTCGAAGCGGCACCACGCCTTCCTTGGTTGCATTGGTGTCCGTGAGCTTGTTGCGTTGTTGCGTTTGTTGCGTTTGCTGTGTTCGGTCGTGTTTGTCGTGCTTGCTGCCTTTGTTGTGTTTGGTCGCGTTTGCGATGTGATTGTTGTGGTCTTTGTCTTCGTGTTCGTGGTGTTTGTTGATGTTTGTCAATGCTTGTCGTGTTTGTAGTTGCTTTACTGTGTCGTTGTTTGTCTTTGTTGTTTTGGTTCCAAAACATGAAAATCGAGGTGAAATACTTGATATCCAAACAGTACCGCCAGCACAGTTCCCCCAAAATGAATGCAATGCCCCACTGAGAAGCTGCAATCACTGGGTAAGCACGATTGTTTTGTTGTCAGATCCACACTCCTGAACAGCTTCGCTGCTCTTTATCACCCAATGCCGAGGAAGCAAAAGGAACAATGACATGACGATATGTTCAGTTGCAAACAACCAACAAAATTTCAACGTAACACAACGTGGGTGAAGTCGATGGGCCCAACACAGGGAGGGTTTCCTAAAAGAAAATAAACGTTTCCGAAAGAGAGGCCCAGCTACTGCACTATAATCAGCTGAGGCCAAAGAACAAAACTGCCCTCAGACTCCAACTCTGGGCGGCACCTGTTCTGGGGTGAGAAGCTGGGAAGCCGAGCGCTTTCCCTGATTTCATCGGGGTGCGTTCGGATTCTGCGGAGGGTTGCGACAGGCAAAGCAAAGGGTTCAGGCAAGTGCTCTGCTAAAGTGCAGAAGCACTTGCAATCAACCACACCTGCGATCCTTCAATGCACCCTGCAAGTGGCGCATCAACAAAAGTGCTGGTTTCTACTCTGTTAGATTGGGGGGCCGCGCTGCTCTTCCGGCAAAGACCCGCAGCCCCTTTTTGCCCAAGCGGCAAAAAGCCAACCTCGACAGGGATGCGAGTCGTGCTGTAACCCACAGTTCAAACGGCATCGTATTTGCTCGACGGCTTGTTGTATTGCACCCTGGGGATTGAGTGCTCCATTTAGGGCCTTGTTACGCTGGACTAGTTTAGGGAAATACAAAATCCGGCTTCTTTCATCCACCATCAATTACGCTATAGAAGCATCTCCGTTGATATGTCTCCCCAAAAATATCATCTTGATGTGGTCATGCTTGCCGAGGAGAAGGACCCGTCTCTTTCCACACGCCATGCTCAAACATCTTTAGTTGGTGCGCAAGACAGAGTGAGTGGTTAAGAGATTAATGTCCCGCTCCTATCCAGCGAAGGAATGGAAAAGGGTGGCTGGGGAAATGAGTTCCTTGTCTTTATCCCTTTTCCAAACCTAAAAATTTCCTCTGGTAGAAGGCATCATGCTAAGAACGGCATCTCCTGAATTCTGAGAAGAAAAAAAGAGAAGCATGCTGTTGAATAACACTGCTTGGCGATGCGTAACAACGTGTTGCCGTACATCTTGGTGGAGGGCATGACTCATCACGCATCACGTGATCGGAAACCGTAAGTCCAAGTGACATGGAGGTTGGAGAATAGTTGAAATCAGTGCAGGAGACTGGTTGGATACCAGAAAAGGCTGCTACATCGTACTACAGTGGGTGGAGCCGGTCAAGGCACGAGGGAGTTGCTGGTTTGCTGCGGTCACTGAGGTTGCCGTCAAAGAAAGCGGTCATCGTCATGAACCAGGTTGGACATGATGGCGATGGCATGGGCCTGCTGGATGAAGGAGCAAACGCATGGACTACGAGCATGGAAAACCAGAGAAGAATGGGAAGGAGCGGCGGTAGAGGATGTGCATCTGGCAGACGGATCAAGTACAAAGATGAGGTGTAAGCCCAGAACGACGTTGCTGGCGACAAAGGGCACACCGGTCATCGCGCCTGTGGGAGAAATGGCGGAGGCGGGCTATGGTACACACCTCGCCACACCTGTGGAGGCAAAGACGGTGGCTGGCTGCAATGGCGGAGGAAGAAGTGGCACTTTGAATGATTGACCTCATGGAGAAAAAGAGTGAGGTGGGAAAGGCAAGGTCGAGCCAAAGAAAATGCCCGCCGATTGTTGGCACTGGTGGTTCCACAGGATTATGATGCGGCAAAGCTACCGCGAAACAGGAGGGGGCGAAGAACGATGAACAAGGCAGAGAAGATTCATCTGCACCTGTTCTGAGGAGGAAAAGAAGTGGCGGGATTTGGAAGGAGATGGAGCTGTAGTCTGCCTCAACCAGGTGAATCATCTGGGGCATGATCTACACAGCGAGGACGGCTATGCCGAGATTCTGGAGCGTGACTCGAGCCTTTGGTTGAGGATGACCATCTATGTGGTGCTGGGAGGAGACAGCAAGAAAGGAGGAAGAAGGTTGAGAACAACCTGACATCTGGATCCAGGTCCTCAACGACATTGGCGACCAATCTGGAGCTACAAGCACTGGGAAAAGTTTCAGGACAACGTGGAAAGGCGTGGTATTGGCTGAGCGAATTGCAACGAAGAACAGGGCCCGATGAACATCGAGCTCTTCGGCCGTTGAGCGCGACCGCGATGGAACAATGGAAGCGTCATTTCCAGTGTGAAAAAGAAGCGCGAAGGGACTGCCCGGACGTGTGTGGAAAGCCAAGCGGTCCTGGGCCTCTTCCACCATCTTCTCCCAGAGCCAGTTGCCTCGGCTTCTTTCTCATTGGTTCTTTCAGCATCCTCTCTTTCTTCTAGCACATCCATTTCCATTTCTTCCAGATCAAACAAAAGCTGCTTCTGTGTGTTGCAAGTGGATCTTCCTTTCCGATCTGTGGGGGTAGGTGTAGACCGGATCCTCCCAGCCCTTGCCAGGATCTACGCACGGGTGTCCCGGTCTATAGGTTGTACACCGATATTCTCGGCAGGACGCAGAGAAGCCAGAGAAGCTCTATGCAGGAGGAGCTGATTGGCTGCAGATCAGGATGGTCCTGATGGAGCACCCTCTGCACGGTATCTTCAAAGCACGTGGGCACAGCGCAAAAAGATGAAGTGTGGGGCCTTCTATGCGACGAGCCCTCGGAGCGTGCACCGCAACATCAAAATCCAAAAAATGCGTTGGGATTCCGGTTGTTTGGAGATGAAGTTCCTGGAGACAGGGGAGCCGAACCTATGGAGGATCGTTGAGGTGGACGGGGGCGAATGCCGGGGTTTGATGTCCATCTACGTGCACGACGCGCTCCTGGCCGGTGAGGATGAAGTCATTGAAGCAGCCAAAGAGAAGATGGATGAAGGTGATTGGAGGCTGTCGCCGGCAGAATGGGCAACCGAAGAAACTCAATGAGGTTCTGCGGCTTCGAGGTGTACAAAAAAGATGGCAGCCACTTGGTGAACCAAAAGGCCAGAAGGCCTTGCAGAGGACCTCACCACGAAGTAGGGGATTCACGAAGGTGCTGAGGTGTTGAACTGCAAGCTGCCGGGTGAGGACAGCAAGGATGGTAGCGCTGTGGCTGGCATTGAAAACGCGTCAGTTGCGGTGGCAATATTGCGGTGGACAAAGAAAGGGTGAGCCTGGGAAAGGAGGTGTTGCAATATGTGAAGGGCACGGTGGGGCGGAGGATTGAACTATGATCCAGATAGGCTTCTCTAGAAGGTCTGGTGCGCAGGGCATTGTGGGGTTTGTGCATGCTGGTGAAACAGCCTTTTGTGGCCCAGGAGGGTAGGTGTTTGGAGCACATGCCTGGAGCGCAGTTGGTGGCGGATGGACTCACGAAGTTGTTGCTTGGGCAGATTTCGCCAACTTCTTGGTGGAGTTGGGAGTGTGCAAGGAGGGCCAATAAGCGGGGAAAAAGCGCCACGGGGCCGTAAAAAGAGAAAACAAGATCGTCAGGGAAAATGAACAGGCGGCAATAGGAGGGCCTGACAAGGAGGCCTGAGAAGATTGGGCAGGGAAGATGAACCTCGCTCAATGAACCGGAACCTTGTCAGGATGATGGCCGGGCAGATTCAATAGCTGTTTGCATTGCAGATACCACTGCCCGTGCCCGGAGGGCTGCCCTTTAAGGGTAAGATCATGGTGTCGGTGCAAGTCTTCTGCCGCGAGCGAAAAGGCATGAAGGCAGAGAATGAGACTGTCTTGGGAAAGGTCATGGACTTGGAGATGGCACATTGTGAGCATGATGATGGCCTTGGGCGCTGCAATGGTCGTGAAGTCGACCAAGGCGGCGGCGGTGCGATGAAGATGATGAGGGTGGTTGAGCAGGGCGAGACCAGCAAGATGCTGCGGTGCTTTAATTGCTGGACATCAAGGACAAGGGGCTTGAGCAGGAGGGCAGCGCGAGCGAACGATGTGCTGCTGATGAGAGCGGAAGAACCGGGGAGCCCGATCAACTTTCGGAGACCCTTTGGTGATTCATTGCAGACAAAAAGCCTTTGCTGACCCTTGTAGGTAGACTGGCCCGCACACGTTTGCCACGTCTGCTTCTACTTTAGTCCGAAATAGATGGCCCCACAAGCGTGCTGTTTCACAGCTAACCTTCCAATGACACTTTGATTGCCAGGTCCTCTTACAAGCAGAGCTGCAACAATCTCACCAAATCAACCCAACACATCACAATCCCAAACCACTTCACCCCCTTACAACCCAACCCAGAAGCCCCCAACCACAACTTGCAGGAGTTGCTTCCACCCTGCGCCTCGCTGTTCTCCCTGGGGCGCGCCAGGTCTCGCAGCGGCAGGCGCAGCTCCCGACACCGGTTCCGCCCCACGCAGCCCAGCGGCACCTCCGAGCGATTAAAATGTTTTTTGTTCAAGCCGTGGCAACGGCGCAAAAAACGAAGGCAAACCGTGGTTGCAACCTTGTGGAACCGTCTTTTCACAGTTTGCAGCCTCCACGCGCCCAGCGCAGGTCCCCCCAGCCACGCCGGCACCGGAGCGCCGGCCATCGGTGAAGAGTTCCAGCCGGATCAGCGCGTCTGGGTCCTTGCAGAAATGCGTGCAGGGGTGCTGCATGGCTTTGTGGGGGAGAAAGGGAGGCAAATGTCAGAAATGGAAGGGGGTTCTCTTTAAAAAAAAGGAATCAATCTCTAAACGAAGGCAAAACAAAAACCTGGCAGCAAAATGCTGATGCTGCCTCTGTATCCATATAAAGAGCCAATGAAGTTTCAAAACATACAACAACTGTAGTTATCGCTCTCTCTCTCTCTCTCTCTCTCTCTTTCCTTCTGTATTTCTCAATTCTTGCTTCCGTCCCTCCGTCCGTCCCACCGTCCGTCCGTCCTTCCTTCTTTCCTTCCTTCAATCCTCTCTTTCTGTATTTGCCCTTTCTTTCTTTCTTGTTGTCTTTCTTGTTTTCCTTCTTTCTTTCTTTCTGTCTTGCTTTCTGTCCTTCGTTGCTTCTTTCTGTCTGTCCTTGTTTATGGTGCTCTATGTGTTGTTCTTTATTTCCTTGCTTCATTATTTCCTTCTTTCCTTCCTTCTTTCTTTCTTTCTTTCTGGTTTTCTTTCTTTCTTTCTTTCTTTACTTTTTTCTGTATTGCTTTCTGTTGTTTGGCTGTAATTATTTATGTATTGTCCTTCTTTATTTCCTCATGTTGTTCTTTCAATATTGCCTCCCTTCCTTCCTAATTTACCTATTTATGTTGTTTTCTTTCTTTATTTCTTTATGTATTTATTTATTTATTTTGTCTTTATTTCGTTCTTTCTTTCTTTCTTTCTTTATTTCTTTCTTTCTTTATTTCTTTCTTTTTTTTCTTCTTTCTTTCTTTCGCTTGCTTTGTTTCTTTCTTTCTTTCTTTCTTTCTTTCTTTCTTTCTTTCTTTCTTTCGCTTGCTTTCTTTCTTTATTTCTGTTTTTCTTTCTTTCTTTCTTTCTTTCTTTCTTTCTTTCCTTCCTTCCTTCCTTCTTTCTTTCTTTCTTTCCTTGCTTCTTTCTGTCTTTCCTTGTTTATGTTGTTCTACGTCTTGTTCTTTATGTCCTTCTGTCCTTCTTAATATCCTTCATTATTTCTTCTTTTTCTGTATTGTTCCTGTTTGTCTGGCTGAATTTCTTTATGTCTTGTCCTTCTTTCTTTATTCATGTTGTTCTTTCAATCCTTCCTCCCGTTCTTCCTTCTTTCTTTATGTCTTTCTTTATTTCTTTCTTTCTTTCTTTCTTTCTTTCTTTCTTTAATTATTTCTTTCTCTCTCTCTCTCTCTCTCCCCCTCTCTCTCCCTCTCTCTCTGTCGTCGTTTGCTATTTCTTACTTGCTTCTCTCTCTGTCAATTCTTCTCTTGTCATCTGTCTCGGAGAGCTAGCTTTCAATTGGTTGCCATACCAGGAAGTTCCTTCTAGACTTCCTTCGATATTTATCATGGTCATGATTACGTGTGGATGTTCATCAGCAATGAAAGGGACTCAGGATGCCTGCAAACCGGAAGTTTGGCTAGCGAACATCGCTTGGGATTCACTTGTGTGAGGGCCAGCAGCACCCGGCTTGCCAACACTTGGACCATGCTGGCATGAAGAAGTTGAGCTGCCTGCGCCGCGGATGGCGTCATGTCGAGCTTTCAAATGAGATGATAAACTTTGTGGACCACACAGGCCTCGTGGAAAAGTACTAAGAAGATGCCATGAAGATTTGAGCGCCAGCACTTTACGCGGCGCACTTCGGGCCATCAGACGAGGTGATAAAATTATGGAATGCCAAGTCTGTGCCCGGCCTGCCAACCCTTGGAACACACATCCATGTCTTTGCTTGCTTGGCAGCACAGTCAGCTCGGTGTTTTCGTTTCATTGGTTGCACAGCAACAGCCATGCAGAACTTGTTTGAGTGACTTGTCCAACCCTTGGTTCATCCATCCTTCGCATTGTCAGGGACTCTTGCACAACAAGAATGCCGCCAGCGCCGTACGGCGCCAGAGTGAGCTATCAAGATGCGGTGATGCGTCACTCCAACAACCGTGTGGCAGTTTCAGTGTGCAGGGGCTTGCACGGGTTGCCTGCCTGCATTGTGGCACGGCGCTGAGCAACACACGTTTAGAGTACCTTGGTTTCAGCGAGCCTCACTTGGCCATCCCGCTTTGCATGGCGAGCAAGGATGCAGATGCGGCAACTCTGTGGTTCCAGATCTTTGTCAACCTGCTCCACGTTGAAGATCATAATCTCTCTACCGAACATCATCCCATACTGTGCTTGTGTTTGCAGGGACAGGCCAAGGCGAGAGCCAAAAGATCACCCTGTTCCAACGAAAGAATAATTATGATTGAGTCACGCTCGAACAACTTGTTTGCAGGGATACGGGGCGGAAACAAGCGCTTTACATGGACTGCCCCGCTGCAAGCAGTATGGGGAGTGGATGTTTCTAGATCTAGCCTGCTGTCTTCCTTTGGCAGTGTTGCTTCGGAAGTGTGCCGTTGTGAAGTTATGCGCTTGCTGCGTTTGTCTGCAGTGCTTGGCAGGAGCAGTCAAGTTCTGGACGAGCACGTATCTAAAGAGGGTTGGTCCGAGGTGCGGAGCGGTTCAGATGCGTGAAACAAGACACGTCAGATGACACGCGCGCATTTGCCCAAGACGCGTCGTCCAGGATGGGGAAGTCAAAGGCCTCCCCGAAGGCGACCATGTGCCCGGCCCCGGGCACCTTCGTGGGCTTCTTCACCACCGTCCTCCGGGCGCCCCAAACTCGGTCCAGAGAAGGGGCATTGCGGAAGGGAAATCCCGAGTGTAAAACAAGAAAATATCCAAAGACTTCTCTCCCCTCAAAAATTTTGGTGGTCCACCTTGCTCTCACCCACCAGTTTTCGATCATTTCTCTCGCACCACTGAAATCGTCTCTTCTGGGACACCAAAGTGGTTGATTCCCCCAAGACTTCTGGAAGCCCAAGCCGAAAACCGAGCTACGGTGCGGGCAGCGGTTTAAGCTCTTGTGTCCTGGAGGACATGTCCTGGCATGACACCACGCAGAACAGCCCTGCGGGCGCCCGCCGGCTCTCCAGTGCGCCCTCTGCCAGCGTCACCCGCAGGCGCCCCGCCGCATCGGAAGCGTCGCTTCCAACAAACGGCCGCTGGGCTGCCGCGCGGCCCAGTGCCTGGGCCAAAAAGGAGCGACGTAGAAAGACAACAGAATCTGGGCATGTCTCCCCTAAGCCGCCTCTTTGCTGATTTTCTAAAAGTCTAACCCCAATCAAGCCCCGACTTGTGGCTTACTCGGCTGAAAATCAACATGACAAAAGTTTCCAGGTTGAGTTGAGTGCTTCCAAAACTTGCTGGACTCTCAAAAAATGGGGTGGACGAGCGCCACGTTGATTTGCTGGCATTTTTGTTGACAGCTAGTTTCAAGTGCTCCCCCCTTTTTGGGCAAGCCCCGAAATGCCCGGTTCCATGGGTGTCCGCCTCCACCCAAAGCTCCCGCTCCACGCTGGTGGCGGTGGCCAGGTCGAGCACCTGGGGAGAAAAGCCAATCGTGGCTTCGTATCTGAGAGCCCACGCTACCATGGGCTTGGAACAGGTGGGGTAACACGTGGTTTGAAGTATCTCCGGGCAGAGTGTGACGTACGGGAACTAACAGAAAGCCTATGAGGAGGCAGTGTCCTAAGATGGACTCGGAGTTCAGCTTCAAGATATCCACAATCTCAACTTTGGATGATGCATAGTAGGTGTTTCTATCAACGGTGCTGCCCTTTGAAATACCAAAACGTCAGACCATGCGCTAACCCCAGTTGCGCATTTCAACCAAACAGACCAGGTTTGCGTCATGGCCTCTAAGTTCAAAAGGGGGGAGAAGCAGAGTTCAGTGTGGCTTAAGCCCCGAACCCGCTACTCCCAAGCGAATCCCCGGCCGCTCGCTTTCCGCATCACAGCTCCCCCTTCGGTGCCTCCCCCTGCAGCGGCAGCACCCGCAACCCGAAGAGCTCCTCCCCGGCCTTGGGCCATGGCCAAGGCAAAGTCAGGACAAAGAAGCGCCAAGCAAACGAGCAAGAAACGCCCATCCTCAGACCAAATTCTGAAAACGATTCCAAGAAATGCAAAGCTCTAAGAACACGTGATAACATGAGAACGAGTGCCCCAACTGGCAGTTGTTGCTTCGCAGAAACACACCCACACCCGAAAGCTGCACAGCAAGGTGGAGCAAGATGCGAAAACCGAAACTGCAAGAATTAGGGCTTCATTACAACAGCTGAGCTTGGTTTCCACAACGTGTCTTGGCGTGCGCATATCTGATCCTTCGGAACCGAAATACCCTGCCCGAGCAACACTGCTCTCACACCAATCTCACAAGGACAACCACCTGGGGATTGCTGCGAATGCATAAGGCCCATGCTTCCAGCTTGAAGCGTTCGACAGCGCTCCCCCGAAGCTTGACACTCCTCATCATTTGACCGTCAAAGCCAGGCCTTGGTTTGTTTTTGGAAGTGCGGAAAGGGCCCGAAACCGCCCAAAACTAAACAAGTAACAATTGAAAACCGACAAAAACAAACGAGTTGGTTTGAGACATGTTGCTGCTGCCGTTTATACGCGGTGTTATACTGGGGGTTACAGAAGTCAGGATCTGTCTGCAAAATTGTCCAAATCTGAAGGGGATACGCAACCTCAAGAGCCTGCCATGTGGGCAGGAGAAAAAGCAGCTTATTCCCAAAACGTCACAAGCTGTTTTGCCGAGCTTCCTGGCCCAACACGTGCGAAGAACTGAGCCCAGTTGAGTGCCACACTCAAATATGTGTATATATATATATATATGTGTATGTATATTACGCTTCAAGAGGTGTTTTTCAACTGCAATTGTTCGAATCTCCAAAAGGAAGAAGCAAGAAAGCTTTGCTGATCGTGGCTTTCAATCACAGCGGATTCACCTACATGGAAACCCCCTGTTTGGTGGTTGGCAATGGCAAGCCAACATACAGCTAGTGCATGGAGTGACCCACCCATGGCAAAGTGTGGGTGGAATTTCGATCAAAGACAAAACGGGTGCCATTCGGCCACTGGGTACGCAGCTCACAGCTTGACTGGGCTAAGATTTCAAGACCATACATCCAAACCACTAAAAGGCAGCAGGGCGGCAACTATTGGTACCCATCTCGCCCCTTGCGCTCCTGGAGCTTCCATCCTCCGCCCAAACAAACTCCACCTCCCCATCCTGGGCCAAACCGCACGACCGCTAGAATGTCGGGGAAGCGCGTTCGAACTTTTCGCAAGCCCCAAAGGGAAACGAAGGTAAGGTCTTGTGGCTTCTGGCGTCCTGGAACAGTTCAATGCCGATAAGTCGTGCCACGTGGCCTAAGGGAGGAAAGACAGAGGTTACAACCTAAGTGTGGAGTTAGACAAGAAACTGCACCTTTCAAAGCAACCAACTGGCAGGGGCCCAACCATCTCACTATGTGAAAACACGACTCCTGGCCAGACCGAAACACACCTCGTTCACAGAGCTCCCCAGGAAAGTGAATCGCTTTCAATCTCACTCAGACGCTTTGCGCGGCCATAAGGAGGCCAGGCGTGAGTTCATTCTTGGTGCACAATGGCAGAAACTGCCAAAGGCATGACTCTGTCCCCGCTGCACTTTCCCCATGCCAAACCCTTCCCGCGGTTCCTCGCCATCCTTTACCTCCGCACTCCGCTGCTCCAAGCGCGCGCCCTTGCGCAGGGCCCAGCCCTTCACTCGCAGCAGGCGCCCGCTGATGTAGCACCCCGCCCGCTCGTCCACCTCCGTGGACACCGCCTGCAACAGCGAAGCGCCAACCCGACGTGGGTTACGTAAACTGGCTTTGGCGCTTCGCTTCGCAAAGCAAAGGCTTCCTAATGGTTATTTGGGTTACCCAATCGTTGCAAAAGCCAATGATTCGCCACAAAGCGCTGGAGAAAGAAGCCCCTCAAAATCAAAAAAGGGCTCACGTTGGAAACGCCAGCCAGGCTTGCACGTGGAAAAAAAGACCGACATAGTCCGTGTGGAGTTGCAAGGGAGTTTCTGTTATGGACGAGAGACCAAGCTAATGGGTCATCTTTTATCCCTCCTATTCTCCCTTTGGCTTCCGTTGGCGAGTACAAGATAGATGGGAGAGTGGGCTGGCCAGTGGAAACAAATATGTGGGGCCAGCGAAGGAAAACAAAAAAAAGGAAATAAGGCACACACAAAAAGAATGGAGAAGATAAGAACTGGATGGAAACAGTTCTCAGGCGCTTCTTCTCTTCTTAATATGTATCTCTTTCTTGTTGCATTGTTGTTGCCATCGTTTCACTAACTATCTTCATCATTGTCTGATTCTTTGAATTCCAAATCATGTTGTACGCTTATTTACAAGCAACGAGGCTAGGGGCCAAGAACCCATAAAAACTTAGACAAACTGCATTCGAATAAAAGTAATCTCATTATGGTCTCCCATCTCTATTTCTCTCTGTATCTCTTTGTCTTCAGGTTGAAACCGCTCTTTGCGTATGGGGCTCTTTGGGCTCCGCTCCTGCTCGGGCCGGCGCCAGGACAAAAGGCTTCTTCTTCGCAGCTCCTTGGAGCAAAGCAAAGATCCGACAGATCTTTAGAGACGATTTTTGATTGAGCCTCATGGATTGTAATGGGGTGACTGAGTAATTCCCCCAACAGTATGCTGACAGTTTTACTCTATTGTGGGACACCTGCATGAATAAAACACGGATTTGTTAATGCTAAGAAATGAGCTGGACCCCGTCTGCGACTTGAAACTAGCCATTGGCATGGGCCATTGGATATAAGAAAGCTCCCGAATGCTGGGTGTGGTCCAATTTCGGTGACCCACCTACTTTAGGAACTACCTACGTGTTGCGTCAACGCAGCGGGGGGTTGACGCACTTACACCGTTGCTTCTTCGTATCGCAAAAAGATGAGTTTCCCATTATTCTTGCGGCTCGATGGCACGGGGGGAGGGCCGGGCGGGTAATTTCATGTTTTGTTCCACTGTTTTGTGGCTAGGCGGCAGAATGGATATACTGCCCCGCCTGCTGAGTGCATGTCGCTTGACAAAAGCTGTCATTCAAAGCGCAGCCAACCCCCCGTTGACCCTACATGTTGCCTGGGGGAGTGGTTGAAACAAAGAGTTAGATTCAAAATCGGCTGCCCAAATTGTTGCATCAGGCTCATGGAAGAACCCAAAAAGAACCCAATGGACCTCAAAACGCAGACGCATCTTCCCACCTTCCCCGCCTGCTCCGGTTCCTTCTCGGATCGTGTCGGAGCCACTTTGGGAGCTTCCTCTGCACCCTGCACACAGTCAGCCGCCGAAGAGATCCCCAAGCCACACAAGAAACATGTTCCTATCGGAGCCACTGTCTCAAATCACATCCCCTCTGCAGGCTGCTTTCTTGAAACTTTTGGCCAAACATATCGTCACAAGAAAGCGTATACCCCATATCCGTATCAAATCCGCGTATCCGAAAGGAAATAGCCATAAACCGAAATCCTTTTCCCTGTTCATTGCTCAGTTCAAATTGGACGCAAAAAAAAAGAAAAAGAAAAACGTCCCAGCACAAGTTGTACCAGCAGGCTGAGTGCAAAGCAAAAGCTGCAGCATCACAACTGTCTGCAAAAACGTGAGTAGGGCTCGCATATTATGTTGCAGTGTTGGGGTCGGGCCAGCAAAAAGGGTGCGTGTGTATATATATATATATATATATGTGTGTGTGTGTGTGTGCGTTGCATGTGTTTGTGTTGTGTGTGTGTTGTTTATTGTGCTGTACTGTCTGTGTGTGTGTCTCTTTTTGTTTGTGTGCTTGTGTGTTTGTGTGTTCGTGTGTTTGTGTGTTTGCGTGCTTGTGTGTTTGGAATTTTGTGTGTTTATGTGTTTGTGTGTGTGTGTGCTTGTGTGTTACTGTGCGTGTGCGTGTGACGTGTGCGCGTGCGCGTGCGCGTGCGCGTGCGCGTGCCCGTGCCCGTGCGCGTGCGCGTGCGCGTGCGCGTGCGGGTGCGGGTGCGGGTTCGGGTGGGCTTGGGCGTGGGCGTGGGCGTGGGCGTGGGCGTGGGTGTGGGTGTGGGTGTGGGGGTGGGTGTGGGGGTGGATGTGGGTGTGGGTGTGTTTGTGGGTGTGGGTGTGGGTGTGTGTGGGTGTGGGTGTGTGTGTGTGTGTGTGTGTGTGTGTGTCTGTGTGTGTGTGCGTAATGACTCAGTTCCAGGATCCGATTGACGTGGTTGTTAGCGACCAAGAAAACAAACGGGGCAACATCAATCAGCATCCCAATGATGGTTCCAATGTGGTCCTTAAACATGCCGTCTGTGCACCTAACATAAGCCAAATGAGAAACGCAATGGATCCACCCGTGTTCCTTGGCGTCCCACAGAATGCTGGGGTAACCGGCCTCCGCCCCTGAGGCGTCACTGTCACTTCCGGAGCTGTGATCTGCCTCAGAACTCAACGCAAGGCTTCTCGGGGTAGCTAGGTGGATTCCCAAAATGGACATCCTCGAAAGCGAACACCCGGGTGAGAAAACAGCTCGGTCTGACATTGTCAAAAAGGAGCGGCTGCAATACGCTCAAATCTGCAAGCTCAGCATCGCATTCCTATGATCCTGATCACAAGACCGATGCTGTCATGAGTGACTGCCTCGTGACTCTGCCCACGACAAGCTGCCTTTCGAAGCGTCTCCTCCTGCTCGTCCTTCCACAAACCGCCAGCATAGTCCAGCTGGAGCTCCAGCCAGTCAGAAAACATCACACACCCGAGATGGCTCGCCGGGTAGTGATGTTCATGACAAATAAACCCCTCAAAACCAGTCTGAATTGGGTTGCTGGCAGGATTCCATTTTACGGCTCAGAACCCCTGTGATAGTAAGGCTATCCTTTTTCAAATCCAACACAAACTGTACTCTTGTTGCACAAGTTTGGGCACCATAGCAGTTGGCCATGGCTGCCTCGTGTTCTCCCATGCACAAGTCCAGCAAGAAACCCGACAATTGATGGTTTCAGATCCATTCCACCAAATTGATGCAAACCACCACAAAAAGCGATTCAGATAACGAGCAATGCGCAACAGCAAGCTTCGTGAGTTCCCCATCATCAGTTGCTGGCATGTTGTCGGGGCAATGCCAAAATCAGCCGAACGATTTTTATCATGGATGGTCATCATTGTGTGCGAACGTCGTGATTTTGGCGTCCCACGTTGGAATTGCGCCTAACATTGCTGAGCCAATGCCATCAGTGGTGTGGACCATCGAACCACATTGAAAGAACAAAACCAACTGTTCACGAGTTTGATGCAAGACTGCCACAGCAAGAAAATAAGCACCGAATACCCCATGGACCAACGCCACGATGGCAAAAGCACAAGCGGGACCAAACGAAAGAAAAACAAACACGTGAACACCATGCATCAACTCAGGTGCCATGCGATTTTTCGATGTGCTCCATACGCATCCAAAACAACGAGAATCATCTGAAAATGCAAAAATGACAAGAATTCCCGTCACATCAACAGATCCAAAGAAGCAATAAGTATTCAGCTAGCAAGACTGGCCAACAAAGACTCAAGCCAACTGAGACAGAAAAAACAGGAGACTGATGAAACTTTCGGTTTTTGCAAAAACAACATTGATGTTGCAGCAGCAACACCCTGCAACGTGCTCCAATCCATGTTTTGCTGCATTCCGCGCAACTTTTCCTGAGCAACCGCCTTGTTAAGCCCAACACTTCTCCAAGCCTGAACATGTCTTGTAGCAGTCCTCGCCCTGCTTGATTTCCGTCATGTTTTGTGCTTACGAATTTGCAATTTCACTTCCAATCGTCTCTAGAAAACCCACATTACTGTTGCAGCGCAACTTTTCAGCATTCCACGCCGTGCATCGCACGCAGTTTTGCCGTGTGAGTCTACAATCTTTCCACCTCTACAGCCGGAATCCAATGCGCAAGAGGTAAGTTAAAACTGTTAGAATCTTGATACTACTTCAATCCGTAAGGGAACAGTAGTAAGGAACATCAGCTTATAGTCCCCTAACTATTTGGGATTTTTGGTCCCAAAACGCTCCAAAACGGCCTTTTTTCGCCCAAAAAACGCTTGTCACCAGCGATGTCACCGCTTCGTCGCCGCTCCGTTTTTGGTGCAAAAAGCGCTGAAAACGGCGAACTCCGAAAAGTGCGTTTTTCGTGTCCGGCGTCAAAAGTGGTGCCTGGGCCTCCAAATTCGCTCGTTTTCCTCCGAAAACCGGCTCCAGGCGTTCGCCGTGCTCCGAAATCCGTTTTCTGCCCCGAAAAGCCTGCGAATTCCAGCCCGCTGAGCTCGTCGCCGCTTGTCACCGCTTTGTCACCGCTCGCTTTTTGGGTGCAAAAGTGCGCAAAACCGGGCCCAGTTCTCTCCGCAGGGTTTTTCGCGGCCCGGCAGCCCGCCGAGGACCTGGCTCGGAGCCCGACAGCCAGCCGAGGTTCTCCATGTAACACGTCAGCCTGCTGAATTAGTCACCGCCGATGTCACCGGTGTCTAACACGTCAGCTTGCCGAGGCGCCAGGGTGGAATCGAACCTCCCAAACGTCGCTCCGGAGACCAACGCCTAAGCCATCTCACCATCGGCTTTTGTTACCGTCCCAAAACGGCGCTTTTTGGCCAAAAAACGCTCTCACCACGATGTCACCGCTTCGTCACCGCTCTCTTCCCAGTTCCCGAGAGGACACGGTTCTTGGCAAGTTTGAGTCAATAATGGAACCGGGTGATTCATCAATGGCTCATGAATGGGCAAGGCCGTCCGGGGTGCTCTTAGTGGCCACCACGCCCTCCAGCACGTCGAAGGCCGACTGGTCTGCCTTGTTGGAGAGACCCGTGGTCAGCGAGCTCTGCAGCGCTGCGATGCTGCTTCCGTGCGCGGCCACCTGTCCGTCCGTGGTGGCCAGGGCCGCCGCCGTTGCTAGGGGCGCAATTGCCGGCGCCAGCGCGCTGCTGTCCAGCTTTGAGGCCAGCTCGGCGGTGACTCGGTCGTCCAGAGACTGGATGGCAGCAGCGTTGTTGCCGCTGCCGTGTTCACCGCCAGGTCAGTTACTTGAGCGTAGGACGTCAGAGCGAGGGCCAGCTGTCCTGCTGTGACGTGCGTGCCGTCAGTTACCTCTCCGTTGTCCAGGACCTCCGGGATGTTGCCCGTGACAGGTCCTTCAAACATGTTTTCTTAGGAGTAGTCGTTACGTGTTTGTAACGCAGGGGTGTTGTACTTTCGCAACGCGCCCTCACTTGAGTCGCTATGGCTCATTCGGGGCCTTCGCAGCGCAGGGTGGTATAATTAAACTCGCAACAGCCCCTAGAAGTGTGGAATGACGCAGTGTCCGATGGCGTCGGACACTGGGCATGAGGCGAGGTCCTTCATGACGAGACCGGCAAAGGACACTTGTCTCAGCGGCTATGACCTGCGGGGCATTCATGAGCCAACCTTGACCATTCATGAACCAACCTTGCCCATTCATGAACCAGCGTGGACCTAAAGCTGTCCAACTACAGCACCACGGCGGCCATGAACGGCTCCATCGCCTCGGCCAACAACGCCACGCTGGCCACGGTGGCCGCCAACTACGGCCTCAAGACGGTGGTGGACCAGCACTCCCTAGACATAGCGGCGAGGATCACGCCGCTGGAGGTGGACACCAAGGCGGCCAACGCTCTCCTGGGGGCCGTCACCGCCGCGGCGCTGGCCTCCGAGCTCGCGAGCCAAGACGCCTCAGCGCCCTGACTCTTGGACGCTGTCACCACGGCAGCCCTGGACGCCGCCCTCCTCGGCAAGGCGGACGCAAGCGCGCTGGCCTCCCTGCTCTCCACGGTGGACGGGTTGGACACGCCGCTGGAGGTAGACACCAAGATAGCAAATGCCCTGCTGGGTCTCGCCACCGAGGCCTTCGTCGCCGCAGCTTGCTAGCCGGGACGTCTCGAAAATTTCTTGTTCCCAGGAGAGGCTGGAGGCCGTCTCGGACCTTGGGATAAAAGCCCCCCTAGGTAGTGGCGCTCACCGGGCTGGAGGCGGGAAGATCTTTCCTACTCCCAGGAGATGGAAAGATCCGTCTCGAAAATTTCTTGTTCCCAGGAGAGGCGCTCACCGGGCTGGAGGCGGAAAGATCCGTCTCGGAGATCCTTCTCGGCTCAAGGAAGAAAAAAGAATTCGCAGGGCACTCGCCTGCAAAAATGATCCGCGCCCGGGTGGAATCGAGCCTGCGGTCTGTAAGCTTCAGAGCTGCAGAGCCTCTTCCTGAGCTATGGATCCTTACTAGTCAAGCACTGAGACTCCAGTCCCAGAGAGCGTCACCAGCTGATAGGCTATCAGGTGGATCATCCGTCATCGTGCCGTCGAGCGCCTTGAAGGTGAACCGAGCCAGGTCGCCCGAACGAGTGCTGACGCCACTGAGGGGCATCTTGGGCACTCGCTCCGTCGGGAAGCCCGCGATGAAGCTGTGGCGCAGGTAGCCAGCGCGGTCGATGTCGATGTTGCGCACCGTGTCGTCGTAGGTCCCCGCAAGGACCGAGAGGAAGTGGAAGTGCTCCGAGGCTCCCTTCATAGGGTTGTGCGGGTACTGCAGGCTGCCCAGCTGCATCTGCGACTCCAGGAGACTGTCTTCCTGCCTGGCCGCTCCGATGGGGGCCACGTCCTGCCCCGGGTTGGCCAGCAGGTGGATCTTAGAGCCCGCGTCGTTGTCCCAAAAAGTCACGAACGCTCCCATGAATTTCGTGAAGGCGCGCGCCGCGGTGACGTTGTGCTCCGCCACGCCCAGAGGCACCGTGGACTGCTGCGTGTGCACCGTGGGGTATCCACCTCGAAGAGCTCCCTCTCGATCTGGGCCAGCGTTGCGACATCGCGCGTGCGAATGCGGCGCTGCCTCAGGGCCTCGCGCTTCTCGCGGAGCGCTTCCATCGGCGCCCAGCTCTCCTCCCCGCGCTCCTCGGCCATGGCGGGAGCTGCGCTGCGAGCCGCGCGCTGGTTCAAGCGCTTGCGAAGCTTAAGCTGCAGGTCTTGCGCCCGCTTCAGCATCTCCTTCCAGTTCTGGATGTCGACCTCCTCCGCCGGGAACCTGCCGGCGAGCCAGCACGGGCGCTCCCCGAGCGAGCTCGTTGCGCAGGCGGCTCACCTCCTCCAGAGAGGCTCCCCGCTTCAGCGCCTCGGCATCAACGGCGGCCTTCAGCACAGGCCTCAGCTGCTCGCGGCGCTCCAGGACGAGGGTGGTCATTCTGAATTTTTTTAATGAGGAAAAAAAGGCTGCGGCACTCTCGAGAAGGTGGCTCCACGCGCAGATCTGTGACCTCAAGACTCAACCCGCACATGCCGCTCATCAGCCACAAGCTGCGCGCTCTCAGCCTAACGCGCGCGGCGCAGTGAGCCAGCTCAGCGGGGCGGTCCGCAAACGTGCCGCCGGCGTTCCAGAAGCGCGCGGCCGGCAGCTTGGCTTTCAGCATCCAATCGCCGCCGCGCGATTGCCTCACAGAGGGCAGCAGCCGTTGCGCTGAGAAGCCCTGCAGCGAGCTGCTGATGCGCTGCCTGCACGCCGCGCGGCTGCTGATCGAAGATGCCGCGCGCACTTTGGAGGAGCTGCAGCTGTGGGGCAACCCGCTCCTGCTGAGAGTGACGCGGGAGATAGATGGGTGCCGCGTCAGCTGCAAGTCCTGCCCAAAGTGCGGAGGCGCAGTCTTCGGGCAGTGGCGCTATGCCACGTGGGGCGGCTTATTGGCCGCCGTCGGAGCGCATGCCTGCTAAGAAA